CTTTCCTGGAGATTCATTGACTCCACTCATTCGGCGGTCAAATCCAAGCAAATATTACAAAGTGGCTCCATGAATTCCGCAACAGATCTCCCTTTTTCAATAGACGCAAAGCGAAATTCTACGAACAACACATACTACTCGCGTGCCTCCCCATCAGTAGTATCATCGTTACACCCGTGCTACTTCTAAGGTTGAAAATCTAATCAAAGTGCTTCAGGAGACACGGCGTGCAAGCCAAGAGATGAAGTTATCTTCAATGTGTGTAAAGTTAAAGTCAGCTGAATTAGATTTGCCTGATAAATTTATTGCTTCTGTAAAGTCCATTAAAGCGGGCCTTTTAAAAAGGCCGCATCTAAGAGAAGGAGTTCCGAAAACCCGAGGTAAACTTGAGTACTCTGGCAGATGATTTCGAGGAGGGCATGTCCACGAGGCTGCCAACAGTGGCGTTACGCGCATAGCCAAACTACGCTACATTGAATGGGACTAGAAGTATGCACAGAATATTGCCTTAAGCAGTATCCTACTTAAAAGCTCTATGAGGATGCACTGGCGGTTCTCCCATTTCAAAAGCCTCATTCTAGTCAGCTTACCCATTATACAATCTCATTTGTATGTGATCTATAAAGCTTAATTCAGTGAAGAACGCCTGCAGAATGAACATTTTTCAGTCAGGTATTTGAGTTCCTCAAACCGGAGGATGAAAAATGCATAGGCGTCAAAGTCAGCCACACATGTCTTGGATTATCGCTCGACCTGACTATTTCCTGATGCCATTCTTTTTTTCTTTCACTACTAAACAGAAGTCTGTTTGATCAACAGACCAGCTGAGTAGTGGCGTTATCTTTCGTGAAGAAAACATTTCTGTAATAACTGTGGGCCTCAGAGGAGCTCTCAGCCGGAGTCGTTTCACACGAATGGCATTGGTATATTCCGAAAAATTGGCTGTGTCATGCAAACTGACGCAATATTGACGCGAAATCTGGCAGACTGTCTGTTTTTTTCGGCTGTAGATTAAATCTTCCGAAAATATCACGATCAAAAGAAACCAGTAGTAAAACACAACAAGTTCTAATGTGGTCATGAACACGCCAAAATAACTATTTTGTTCAATCCTGTGGAATGACTGTCTTTGCAAGGGATAATGCTGCACCGTTATAAAAACTTGCTTTTGAAAGTAATTTTCTCCGAGGCCCAAAATGTTCTAGCGCAACGTTCCTAATGTGCTTACAAAAGGTTTTGTGTATGGCCTCTTCTGTGAGGGACTTAGTCAACCAAAATATTTCTTGAAATCCAGTCTGGAGGGTGACTGCTCAACGGAGGAGTAGTATGCAGGTGCAAATAAGGCCATCGGACCCGGAGAAACTTTCATCTTAATGTCGCATGTTGTACTCCTGATTGATGTCATAATATGTGATGACCCTCTCATCCCAGCCCTATTTTGGAAGGGCTTCCGCTCCTCGGGAACACTTGATGAGTTCGTTGCCGGAAGTAAGCAGCGATTTTCAAGATGTATCATTTTCACGCCAAATCTCATAGCGTCGGACAGCAGCAATCTTTGTAGCGATGAGGTTTGTCTTTGAAAAGACTTATCGGGAAAGTACACTACACAGTATTGTTTGGTACACTTACAATGCGTCAGTTGATGGTAGATAAATCCGAAAGACAAAATGCCTATTTTTTCTACCGTAAGAGTTGTTCCATAATGTGCATGTTTTGAGAGTCGGCATGGCTGAACGAAAGCCATCAAATTGTGCAATATTTTTCATTTATTCTTCGCGAGTTTGAGACAGCTCAGTGGTTGGGGCGCACACTCTCTAACCGAAAGGTTCGTGGTTCGAAAGAAACCTCTACATCTCAGTTGCTCCCTCAGTTCTTCCTCGCCCTCAGTTCTTCCTTCTGGTCGAATGGTCACCAGGCATCGAAAGAGCTTACAGCTGAATGATTATTACATTTTTATTGTTTATTTCTCAATGTTAATCCACCACGTAGCCGGCACTTGTAGCTTTAACTCTCCCAGCATAACACAATGGAGAATCGGAGGTGTCATACAAATAAGAATATTTTATTTACGTTTAGCGGCACGTGACTTCTCAACTGTTTGGCGTGTAGCTGTTTCCAGGTGCACGTCCACCAATCAAGTATTCAGTCCAGCAGTTATACTCTACCATTTTTTTGCACGCCAGATGACGTCACATATTGGCAAAATGAATAAACACAAGTGATTGCGCAAAGATTTCCGCGCCTTTGATTGTCTGTTATACAACTTCAACGTGAACACATGCATATTGCACCTTTCATGGTACACATCTCCGAAGCAGTGATTCCCTCACCCGAGTGGGGAATTTGATTTAGTGGTTAGTATTCGATTACATGGAGGGAAAGCAATTGGGAAACTACTGCTCAATTTGGATGAATTCATTTTCCCATTAACCAATGATACTTAACTTATCTAGCTTTGGAATACAGCTGATTAGTATGGTCAGTCAATAAAATCGATCCACAAGTCGAAAAGCCACCCACGGTTCAGTATTATAGTCGTCATGTGACCATACTCGCAAAATAGATACCGTAAAGAGGACCTCGCGACAGACAAACTAACTGGTGGAGGGAACCCCAACAATATCACATATTCAAGCTAAGTCTGGAATGGGTTGGGGACACTGAACACGATAGTTCTTGTGGTTGCCCGTTGTCTGGTGGTAGTTACTGTAGGTAGATCATATTAGTTTGCCAAGGAAATTCTGGTCCCGTGTATTCATTCCTCAATCATTCATTCATTCATCCATCAATAAACCGTGAATCATACTATCGGGTGAACTTGTGGCGCATGCTGTCAAACCGATTCTAACATGGCTGGGTGTCAGTGTGTTTGCATCGTTTATTCGACGCATGATCCACACAGGAAAAAATGTTTCCACGGAAATTGTGACGCACCTTATAGAATCGATATGACAAAATAGTAATTCTCACTCGATACTTGTCCTGAATTTTTGTGTATTGATCAAACTAACACTAGCTGATTACACTATTCGACGCATGATCCACACAGGAAAAAAATGTTTCCAAGGAAATTGTGGCGCAGCTTATAGAATCGATATGACAAAATATTTATTCTCACTCGGTACCCGTCCTGGATTTTTGTGTATTGATTAAACAAACGCTAGCTGATTACAGGGAGTAAAAAACTGTATCGTTGCTTCCTATCCCTTCTTGATGTTCATCGAGTGGCGGCTGGAAGTATACTTACCGTTAATAGTGTTAAATAATGTTAAGAGCAAGGCTCTTCATAACCCACCGATCCGATCAACGATGGTAGTCCCTATCAGGAGGAAATTGATCGAAAACATGAAAGACAGAAGAAGCAAGGCTTGATTGGTACTCACCAGTGTGCAGTCGACCTTAAAAAGACTGTCCGATTAGTTAAGATGCGGTAGTTACATTTGTGACAGCTGCAGCTGGGTCTAGCCGGTCATGACAAGGTTGGTACATGTAGGTCCTGATCACACAGCGAAGGAGGACTAACCGTCGATTCGATTGTCTTTGACAGGCTATGTACGATTTACCTGAGCTTGCGTACTGCACCCTTCTTCGTGTTTGTCAAGCCTTGGTAAACTGACTGAGTCTGGTCAAACCAAACATTGTGGTTTGTCATCAGAACATGTTGGTCAATGGCTGAGTCATTCTTCAATTTAGAATTGCGGTGGATTGCCTGGCACAAATGGTATATGTTTTCCGTGTTCTGCAAGTTCATCTTCAGTTACCTTCTTGTCTCCTCTATGTAGCGCTACAGCCCCCACAACGGACGCCTGACACAAAACGATAAAATCGCAAATGCGATTGTATAGATGTTAATTTTCCAGCATTTTGTTGTGTACAAGTGGATTTTATTTCAGGTATCACAAACATAGGTCGCTCACACACAAATCGGCCAAACCGTCCTTAGTTGTTGGAGGCAGGGTCCCCCCTTAAAAAGGGGAAGGGATAAGACCTCTGTCAACTTTGCGGGAAAATAAGTTCGTCAAAAATTAGCGAAACCACCAGAGACTGTCATTTCGATTTGAACGTGTGGTCGATCTCAC